CCCCAAAACCCCAAAACCCCAAAACCCCAAAACCCCGTTATTGACCATTTGAGTTGAACAAGCTTAATTGTTATCTATTTAAAACAATTAGTTTTATTAACATATTATGACCGCTTCCAGTATTTTTGAAAGTTATCTCCTCATCTGGTCATAATTTCATGAGGATACTAATCCGAATTTCTTCCTTATCATGCTCCTATTTATCTTTTCATCATCATCTAAATCAATAGACACGAAGTCAGATATAGTAGCAGTAACCAGATTATTATTCTTTCGATAAGGCATCGAGTAATTAGAAGGACTTAGAGTGTCATGAATATCACCTCCAACAGGTATTGTTCCTTCCCTGATTCTTTTGGCCTCAAGTAAATCTTTGAATTTCTGGCATGCCTTCTTCACTGTTTCCTGGATTCTTAGTTCTTTGAATTTTCTTATTTTCCAGTTGACCAAAGCCAACTGTACTCTAATATTAGTATCACTATCTGAGAGTCCTTTCTTGTTGAGCGACTCTACAGAAAGATCCTTCATCATTTTCAATATTTGAGGGTCTTTATCAGCCGAGTTTCTTGGATCGTATGGATTTGGAAACCCTTGTCTTCTATGGATCCCAAACGATCGGAAGTACTCTCAAGCTTTGATCTCTTTCAAAGCCTTATTTAAGCTTGGCTATCATTATGAAATTTTCCTTCTCTGGACTTAGTTCTAGAAAAGATATGAACTCTTCATCTAGATCTTCAGAAGGGTCTATACAATAAATTCCCTAAATTATGAATTGATTCTTAACCTGCCCAGAATTAGAAAAACTATTATTAAAGGTATCAATTCTCCGTGTTAAATTGGAGAATTATTCGATGTATTGACTAATTAATAATCTCAAGTACTCTTAATAATTTTGAAAGCCTTTCAGCTTCGATAGTTGGAACAAATTGGGTTTTGCCTGTTTGTGCTACTTCAACCTGAAAGTTTTTGAACATGGACTTTCTCAAAATTTTTGTGATTCCATCTATTTTGTTCTCATCCATGTACTTTATCATTCGGTTGAAAATTCTAATTGTTGGCCCAGTTATTGATGAGTAATCCAAATGCTTATTTTGAGGAGGAAGCTCTTCACTGATTCCTAGATCTGCAAACATTTCTCTGATCCTACCAACATCAATAAAGTCCTGCACTAGAGGCTGAAATAATGATTTTAGTATATTTTCAGAGGTGTCATCCTTCAAGAGTTGGTATTTCTCTAAGGCACTGAAGAGCTTGCTTCTCTTAATAAGCTGATATTCTTTGCCATCATAAACCTTATCCATAATGTAAGGTCCAATAACTTGGGAAATTTTTAATTTGCGGACATAAAATTTTTCAATCAGAAACACGAAAGCCTCCTTGACTGTTTCTTCTGAGTAATTCCCTTTGTCTTCCATGCCTTGATGAATTTTTGAAAATATTTTAGATTTCTTAGAAGAGGGTTTCTTTAAATTCAGCTTGCCAATAGGATTTTTTATTAAACTTTTCTTTGGAGCAATCTTCTTTTTATGTATACTACTACTTACTGTTGGAGATTTAATACTATTAGCACTCTTTTTCTCTTCAAAGCTAGTATTCTTACTCTCTTCAACACTTTGGGAAAGTATATTATTCAGAAATAGAGTTCTGAAGACATAAGCATTTATTTGAGTGAGACTAAGAGATCGTCCCAAGAAGTAGTCTCATAATCGTTCAGTGTCTAATTTTATATTCCTCATTCATAAGCTGCGATTCTGATATCGCTTGGGAGTATCTGGTTGGAGGAAATACTATCTCTGATCTTTTTATCAAAAGAGTCAAGTTGACCACTAGTGCAGTTTATTTGACGAATGATAGTTTCAACAGTGTTTTCTTCTCTTCTCATGCCTTGGTCGAATCCTCAGAAAGATGAAATCCTTTTGGCTGCTTGGCTCAATTTCTCAACGTTTCCTGCTTCGTAGAACAAATGGTCTGTGAATCTGTCAGCGTCTACCCCTGAAAGTAAGAACTTATCTCGAAGAATATTCATGAGGTTTCCTTTTGAGTAGCTTGACCCAGTTGGGAGTATTTTTATTAGGGTGTTAGTAGAATGGTAAATTCTTAGTCCTCTTGTAAGCAAAGATCTAATGGCATATAGATCCTTGTCTACTATCTTTGAAGAATTATTATTTTGAATGTTGGAATTGTAAGTATTGGTCAATTCCTACTGATCTGTTGTCTATGAAAGAACTTTTCTCTATACTACTGTTAATTTTTAAGAATAGTTAAACTTGTATGTTAAACATTTACAGGGGATTAGAAAGTGAATTCTAGAAAGTTAATAAATAAACCGTTATTACTATCTTTTACTGTTCCTACCTACACATGTTCGAAGTAAGAAAGACTATATTTGAATTCTTAATATTTAAAACTAATATGTCTTTACCTTTAACTTGGCTTATCCGCATTTTATTGGAAGGTCCTGTGTTAATTAATTTGGTCTTTCGATGTTTTGCATTAAAAACTTTGCCCTTTGATAAAGCAAAATTGCTCTTGAGAAATCGAGAATTAGAACTGTCTAAATTTGTTTTTCTTCGGCCAATCAAAGGGCTCCCAACGGAAGGCCTTGCAGGTTGGGGTGAAGTCAGCCTTGATTCTCTGTGTATTGGAGACATCATGATTGAATTAGAATGCTTAGCATCATCTCTTATCCTACTTCTATTCTGTGATTGGTTTAAATGAGATGGCGATGAGAAATCTCTAATGTTGAAACTCATATTATGTTTCGTAGCTCTCCTATTAGAGTTAGTTCCTTGTATTATCGATTTCTGAAGATTTCTCAATTAAATTATTTGTTATCATCACTCCTGGATTGTATGAAGGTCGCTTTGACTCAAACGCAGAATATTGCATACTATGTTTGCCAGCTCCAAAAATTTTCTTATCATTAGGATTAACAGGAGATTGTAGATGTGTATTAAGTCTAGATTTTGTTTTAAATACCTCTTCCCTTCCTCGCTCCAGGAGAGGTGATCTTAGTAGAGTTAAATGATCCAAGATTTTTAAAATTGCCTATAACTCTGCTCATTTTCCTCTGGTTTTCCTCCTCCTTAATTGTAGTTAAGTTTTGAAACTTTGCCTGGCCTTTTGAAGGGGATTGAGGATAAAAATTATGAAGTTGGTCTCTTTTCATATTATATTTCAATAAATATTAGAAGTTACGGGGTTTTGGGGTTTTGGGGTTTTGGGGTTTTGGGG